GGGGGGGGGGGGGGGGGGGGGGGAGGAGGTCGCAAAAAAAAATTTTCCGGGAAAAAATTTTTGGTACTAGTCGGGCAAAATCACGAAAAGTCGGGCAATTTTACGAAAAGTCGGGCAATTTTCTTTCCGCCCCCCTTTTCCTTCCGGTACGCTTCCTGTATTATTAAGCATGCATGTTTTTTTTTTAGTTTTGACCATGGGCGTACCGGAAGGAAAAAATTAGGGGGGCGGAAAGAAAATTGCCCGACTTTTCGGGATTTTGCTCGACTAATACCAAAAAATTTTCCGGAAAAATTTTTTTGGCGACCCCCCCCCCGTCGCCAAAAAAAATTCGGTCAGTGTACCATTTTAGGGGTCAAAAAAATTTTCCGGACAACCAATATTTTTCGGAACATACACAAAATTTTGGAAAAATCTCAAAATTTGCCAAGAAATTTACTTAATTTTAGACAAAATTTACAGAATTTGTCACATTTTTTTTTATTGCAAGCCAAAATTGCCCGACTGTTGATCGAATATTGCCCGACTGCCCAAAACACTGGGGGGGCTACCGCCCCCCCCGCCCCCCCGCCCGGTACGCCTATGGTTTTGACAATATAAGATGATAAATAATAATCATTTTCAATCTATTGTAGTAATTCACCGTTTCCACGTTTTTTTTATACCCATTAAAAAGTTACAATAAAGCTATATCTATAGGAAATAACGTTATTTAGTTATTAACTTGTAAAGTAAATCTAACAGTCAATCGCTTTTGTAGCCTGCGCGGCAGGCGGTATTTCTACAGGCAGCGAAAATTAGGGAGGCAAAGGAAATACCGTCTGCCGCAAAACTAGGGGTTTTTGAATTACCCGTCCACTGGTGAACGGGAAAAACGGATTGGTTAGTATTTTTATGTAGTTGTCAATCAACGGCTAAATTCGGTTAAATGTTAATCATTAACCAAATGTTTTGACGTTTTGAAACTCTGCGTTTTGAAATTAGTTCACGTCAAGTCAGACCAGAAATGGAATAACATAATAAAAGAAGCAAATTAAAAGATACAAGCTGAAAAATAACACTCTAAATAGTGTTTTTGATAGAGATTCGAACAAGAATATTTAACAAAGAAGGGGGGGGGGGGCAAAGAAGATACGTCCGAAGGGGCCGAAGTTATGATCGGCGAAAGGTATGGGCTAGTCTATATTTTCGTTCAGACAATTAATACATGCGTATTAATTTGATAATATACAATCTCGCTTGACTTTCAAAGGCCATAAATCGCAATAATGTTGACATTTTACTAAAACTATCGATAGAAATTAGGAGATATTTCTGAATCGATGAATCGAACAGTGGGATTTTTATATAGGCCTATCATGTTCTGAACCAAAGATACTTGATAGATAATATATACGAACCTCCAAAGTATAAACAAGGGGCCGGTTGATGCAGTAATTATCAAATAACAGTTAAACTCTTATATACCCGTTGAATATGTATAGTTGTAAACAAATAAAAACTATCGTTCTATAAGGTTCAATACTTTCATTTTGGTTGTTGACTGATGACGAATCTATAGTATAGACTTGCATGCTTTGTATTTTGAGCTTATTAAACCACCGTTCGTTTTAAGGCAGCTAAACGGGCTTGGTTTATATTAACACATAAAATAAATTCCTTGATTCTCATCACTAGACACAGTCTACACTTTGAAACTGTCGAAGACAGTGGGAGATTTATTTTTTATATTTTATATTTATATAATTTATATATCAATAGTTCGTATCTCCACGAACAATGACAGAATGACTGAGTTTCTTTAAAATACAATGAAATTTCATTCAAAATTCTGTTTGTTTCAAATTGGAAGTTTAAAATGGCAATAAAAACTCTATATAAAATATAAAAAAATTAACTGTCTTGAATTATTTTGTCGGGCGGTACATTTATATTGTATAACGAAATATAAAACGTTTTCACGAGGATTTTAAAATTCAGTCGGGCGGTGATGAGAATCAAGGAATTTATTTTATGTTGGGCAGTTGGGACTTGGGAGCAACTTGGGAGTGGCTAATTTTGAATATTTACTTAATTAATGCATCTATAAATAGCGTTGATGCTTCAGGGGCGGTGTCACAGTGATATGAGTATCCCCGTGTTTTGTGTATCCCCTACTAATATCACTAGGGATTTGTGTATCCCCATGCTCACCTCACTAGGGATATGTGTATCCCCGGCAATATGGCGGTCGTGTTCTGCGTATCCCTAAAGAACCACCCTACATTCCCACATCACTAGGGATACAACTATCCCTAACATTTCGCGGGAAATAAAACATGCAGAACTGCACATACAAGCTTGAAAATAACACTCTAAATAGTGTGTTGGATTGTGTTCCAAACAAGACTAATACCAAAAAGATATGTTGAAAGGGGCCGAAGTTATATTCGGCGAAAGGTATGGCTTAGTGATGCATTGTTTACATTCTTCGAGTTTTAATATTGTATATAGTATGGTATGGTTAGTTTAGATTGTTCAAGTATGCCTAGTTTATAATTTATGGCTATTTTACATTGTTCGATTTCATAGAACTTTTCAAGCGGATTTTTTTGGTGGAACTTTCGTATTTCTACTGCAAATACTCGCGGAGTTCTGTAATATTTAAACTTCCTGTCATATACGTCGGAAATCAAGTAATACGGAGCCATATGAGTTAATGTTAAGAGTAATTCTACACTATGTTCTACACCAATTTATGCGACGCGAACATGCTATCTTGCAACAAAAGTACAATCACATTATACACATTTACTGCAGCATTTAATAACTGTAAAAATGTAAATACTTAATACCGGAAAATAAAGGCACAGATAAATGAGCTCATATTTTGAATATTGCATCCTTTCGCTTCTAGTGTTGTAGGTATCCCCACCGGGGGTACTTTTATCCCTAGCGATATTAGTGTGGGGATACACAAAACACGGGGATACTCATATCACTGTGACAGCGGTAGTTCATTTACACCCAGTTTTGCGGCAGGCGGTATTTCCTAAGTACCGCCTGCCATGCAGGCTATCGCTTTTGATAAAACCTTGACCCGCCTTGACATTGTTAAAGGGGCCGGCCCTACAGCCATTTTTTAGTCAAGTAAGTATTGTTTACATTTTTGTTATTGTCGCTACTTGACATGCGCATCACGGCATGCATGCGTCTTCCGGTGTGCGGAAGTACTCATATTCATGGATACTGCATGTAAGATACAGCCAAACGAATCTCCGTGGAGTCCCCTACTTAAGGTGGCTTTTCGACTAAAAAATGACTGTAGGGTCCCTTAACTCCCTTTAATGTTATTATTACCGTCGGTTGCAACTAACTATTAACGGTCGCTTAAAAAAACATTGTCTATATTCGCGTGTTTCTGCTGGGGTCTACACCGTAGGCAAATTCGCGTGAGAGTCTTAAGTTTTCTTATTTTGACATAATAGCTATTTTGCAATAAATATATTGATATTAAATTTATTGAATCGATATTTTAAGTTTCACGCCAGTTGTACCAAAGGTTATAAGCGCTATAGCGCATCATAAGCATAGATATCTTATATAAGATATATATGATCATAAGTTTCAGATGGCATGCAACATGTACGCAGTGCGTACCCATTTTTGAACTTTTGTTGGTAAGCTTATTAATTGTTTTCCACAGGGGCGCCGGAGCCACGGGGGCAGCGGGGGCAATTGCCCCTGTTGCCCAAACAGTGCGGGGGCAGCACGGGGGCAACAGGTTGCCCTTTTTACCGGAACTGCAGTTCGAAATTCGTGCGTTATTCACAGGAATTGGAATTTATATAACTATTTTTAATTAATAATAAGCAATGTTTAAGCAATCTTTGCTTAATTTTTAACCAGTTGTAGTAAAATTAATGCTAAATCAGGCAACATACATCCGTTTACTGATTTTATTTTGTGCCCTTAGCATGGTGCAACGAATAAAATTGTTCAAAATTAATGTCGAAGTTTGCCGACCCATAATAGCCACAAGTAATCGAGTATCCGTACAGTAAATTTTTAACAAATATTGCCGCCCAGGAAAATGATGATTTGGAAGCAAGTGCCCTTTTGAAATGGCTGCCCCCGCCGCTTGACATTGCTTCCGGCGCCCCTGGTTTTCCACATCTGTTTCGGTTTATTTTCGCATTTATTAAGGGTGTTTGTAAAATACTCGGCCTTAGTTCTTTTTATCAGTTTGTTATAAAGGTCATTTCGTTCTTTGGCAAAAGCGTCATGGAATTGTACTGTTTTGATCCAGTTTTTACTGCCTTTCTTTTCAAAAAGTCCCTACGACGCATCAAATTTTTAATGTCACTGGTAATCCATGGAGCATACTGGATTCTTACTTTTCTAGTGATCGGTGGTGCATGCATATCGGTCACCGTGAGAAATGTGTCTCCATTCATCCCACATTTCGTCTGGGTCATTAGTTAAAGAGATTGTTTGCAGGTTAATTGCCAAATCTTGTTTGAAATCGCCAACGTTGTAATTTTTAAATTGCCTTGTTTTAATTATTTTGCTCGCTTTTCGTTGTATCGAAATTTTTCTTTGAATAAAGATAAGACTATGATCGCTAATTCCTATATGATCCATACCAGAATTAAAAACAATTTCTGGTTTATTTGTGAAAGCTAAATCAATTTGTGTTTAGAGATCTCAGTTACTCGCGTAGGTTTTTTGATTAATTGTTCAAATTGCAAGGTTTTAGTGAGTTCTACAAGTTTCTTTGTTTGTGAATTAGCATTCTTGTTTGCAATCTGAGACCAATCACAGTTGAAATCTCCAATTAATATTACTTCCATGTTTTCAAAGTCCATTTTCCTAACGAGTTCCTCGTAGTTATTAAAAGTTTCTACCGGGGAATCATGCTGATGGTCTATACCAACAACTTACCAAGAAGGGTTTTGATTTAGGTTTAGAGATCTCAACTGTAATTATCTCAAGATCACACGGCATTAGCCCTTCTTTTACTTTATAGTTAATAGAAGTTCTTAAGTAAATAGCACCCCGCCATATATAGCCTGTCCGAATATAAATCAACTGCTCGTAAGCTAAGTAGCCATTTTAATTTAATTAATGATAGTGCCACAAGCGTTTATGTTCTTTAGAAAAGATCGAAAAACAACCAAAAATAATTGCGAGTTGTCTATCAATATGTGAAGGTTTTAAAACTTCTTACGTCGTGCCTCTTGCGACAACAACAGTTTCGTAGAACTTTCGCAAGCGTTTCGAGCAAAACTCCAGAAATTGGCAAAAAATATTTGAAAAACTGATTTAGTAGCAAAGTCTACTTAAATATTATTGTTGTGATTTACGAAGGTTACCTTTCTAACTTTGTGAAATTGAAAATTGTGAACTTTTGTCGTCTATTTCAAGCTTCCAGCCTTCCAAGTTTGCTCTAATAAGATGACTTTCAGTTCATAAATTAAGTCTGATTCATGGGAAAACTTTTAAGTTTCGTCGGAAAAATGAAAAAATACGCACAAAATCGATGAAATTAATACTAAATACGCTCGGTAAGCGGCCATCTTGGATCCAGCGACTAATAGTAATGACGTAATAGTATTGACAAAAAATGACGTTAGTCATTTTGTTACTAAAGGCTGATTTCCACTGTTGCGTTTTTCATAGGTACGTATACGTACGTAAAACTTTAAATTAAATGTTACTTATGAAATAACCAAATAAAGAAATAAAGCAAGTTTAGTATATGCGGCATTTGTTATTTGTAAAACTTTGTAAAATATTTAAATTAAAAAATAGAAGGATTCAAAGTTTTACGTGCATGCAGGGACGCCGGAACGATGTGAAGGCAAGGGGGGCGGATTTTCGTGAAAGGGCACTTTTGAATTGACATATACTAAGAGATGTTTACAAAACATCGGGAGTTGAACGTCGCCTAATCCTGTTTTCTATTTATTGGATGATAGGGGTGTGAGGGGGTTCTCCGCCAGGCGATTGTGCTATTCTTGAAGCTCCATGACTGCATTTCTTGCATTTTCTGAAGCAAATTCGTAAAAGAATTGCACTAACATTTCTGACAATTCGCTATTTCGACAAGGCAATTCTTTAAATTGAAAGGGCACCTTTGCCCCCCATGCCCCTCCTGGTAAAGGGCAACAGGGGCGGCTGCCCCTCCTCCCCCCCAGTTCCGGCTTCCCTGCGTGCATGCATGCTTATACGTGCGTACGAAAAACGCAACAGTGGAAATCAGTCTTAACAATCCGCGAAAAGCCGAAACCAAAAGTCGCTGGCGGCACAGAGTGCCCCAGCGACTAATGACATTGTATTTGGTACGTCGTTTGAACTGACTGCCGTTCTTGTGTCGCTCCAGTGTCGGATCTAATACAATTAAGTTTGGCACATGAAGAGTAGGCCGTCTGAAACGGGCCTAAAAATAAATTATCATATGACAACGGAATTGCACTATACCCATTTGTACTGTTCATCAAACTTAACTAAAAACACAAACATCTTTAAACTTTAACATATTTAACCTCCATAGATTAAGAATTTTTAATTAAAGGCGTTAAAGTTTTAATTCGGCACTTTGCCTTTGGCTTTCATAAATGATTCTTCAATCGCCCTTAATTTCTAGCAAACCCTCGCCTATATTTAATATTTTCCAAATTAAGTTAATTAACTACGTACATTGAGTTAACATGGAATGCTAGTAATTGGCGAACACTGAACGCAGGTTTACACTTGTATCGGGTAGCTTTCCGCAGCGACGTAAAAAATACTTGTCCGTACCTTTTAGGAACGCTATTTTCAGAGGAATTATTGCAATGGAGAGATGTTGCTTCGCTCAGCTTCTGAAAGTTGTACATTCCGTATTGGATAGCTGCTTTTTCGTGCCGGTACGGAAACTTATTCAGTATAGTATAAACATAGCCTTCGCTAATACTTTCCTTTTCCCAGGTGTAAATAGCCGAGCGGAATTAGTACCCTCGCCCCTGGGTTAACGCCCGGAACGGCGCTTCGCATCGTTGGCTCGAAGAAAATAACTATTTATCTTCAAATTCCTATAGACATTGAGCATTTATATTTAGATAGATAGATAGGTAGATAGATAGTGTATTTAAAATTCACCTTGCAGCTGGACAGCTAAATTGCGTGATTTACAAGAGTATATAAAACATTATTTAAAAGATAGAATATGGGTTAATTAGGCATATTTACAAATGGTCATTAAAACGCTTAGTACTAAAAATTACATTAACTTAAGTTACTAGACAAAGGAATTTAACAGGATACGTGCATTCCAGAACGATAAAATCGTTATTTTGACTTATTAGGAAAATGGCGATAATTTAATAATTAATTATTGGGTAATTTTTTTCAATGGCTATATGGTCAAGTATGTAAAGCTTTAGCTTTCCCACACTCCTAACCTACCCTACCCTATCCTACATAAATGTATAACATTTACATCTTTGTTCTGCGAGTATACTTGCCAAAACTAATGGTATTGGAAAACAACAAAACCGCTACTACGTGTGATACGATAAAAATGGAAAGCATGACATTTATTAACGATTAATTAACCAAAGATAGCCGGACCCAAATACCCAGTCGTTGTCATTACGAGACTTATTGAAACAGTTAAATGTTCGTATGAATTGTAAGAAGGTTTGTTGTTGTCTGCCTCAGTCCATCTATTTTGGAATGCCGGTTGCTGTGTCCAAACCATGTAGAAATAATAGATACAAAATGCGTACTGCTATATCTTGTCTTAGTACAAATTTTGTCTCCACAAAATGGCGGACTTGTAGGGGCATTTTAGCCCGTACCAAACTCCTGTGCCAATGTATTTCGCGCGGTTACGGGGAGTGAGAATTGGGTTTTTTCAACAAAGTTTGCAAAACAACATTTTTTATATCGAGACTTAAAATGGAAAAAAGTTTTGTAAAGAAGATAAACTTTTGGAAAAACGCATTCCAGTGGGCTTTTTTACAAAAGATATAAATGGAGTTCATTATTATGGTCTTTTTTATTTTATAGTCCTTTTTTAATATTACTTTTCATATTTTATACGTTGCTTGAGTCTTGAGGCAACACTTTTTAAAATCCAGTTTTCGACGATTATTTAGGCGGTTTAAATGCATGCATCGACAACTAAATAATTTTTGTTTCAAAAAAAAAATAAACTTCATTTAGTTTGAAGAAGAACCGAAAATCCGACCAAGAATGGACTATCATTTTGTAATTTGGCATTAGCAAAATCAGTGATACTCGAAATCAGAGCGCGGCAAAAACGTTTTAAGAGTTATAATTTTTTACGCGAAATTACTTTGTTTCTACAAGGCTGCACGATTTTCACCGTTTTTTTAAATGCACAACTGATGCAGCAGCACACATTTGCTTTTATGCCTTCAAACAACTTAATATAATATGCAATATCTATCCGATCCTCAAGCTACAAATTTAGACAGCAAAAACGTTTTAGCTTTGTTTATACTTTGCAATTCTCACTCCTAGTCAAATTCAATATGGCTGATTTATAATGGTATACGCATGAGAAAAAGTGGAAACGTGGTTTATGATCAAGTACGCTTTCCATATCTAATATTTCTATGGTCCAATTAACGCGGCGTTTATTTGCAGCGATTAGTTTCCGCACTGCTCGTCTGATGCGGGTTATTCTTCAGTTCAAACGTTAGCCGAGAAGAGGTGCCTGAGCTTGTGCTGGATTGCATATTTTGCCTCGATATAAATTTGCATAAAATGCATCTTTTGAGTAGATGTTTGAAAGCATCGCTATACTCGCGGTCAAAACAGGCATAGATTATCGGATTACAAAGACTGTTGAAGGACGGAAGAATGAACATGAATAGACTGCCGACTATCTCCCAATCGTCTGGAGGTAAGGAGGCAAAGTCTACCTTGTAAAGATGAATCAGCAGCAGAATAAAGAAAGGTCCCCAGCACAAGATGAAGGTGCACACAACTAGAGCTAACATTCGTATTATCTTTAACTCCTGACGAAATTCTTTTCCCTTTTTGTCAGTTATGGAAACCGCAGAGGACTATCCCAATTCACCTCTTCTGTTCATTTTCTGCCTTTGATGGGCGATGTAAAATATAAAAGCATACATGAAGATAATTATTACCGAAGGAGCGAAGAAGAAAACCACTGAAACAATGGTGTAATAAATCTTATTGTCGTTAAGACATCCATGAGCGACAACAGACGTTACACCATCGCTGCCACCAAACGAGAACAAACCAAACGTAGCAGATACTGCGGAAATAAGCCAAATAATTACAATTACGATTGCAGACACCGTCGTATCCATCCGAACTCTATACTTGAATGGTTCGCTGATTTTAAAATAACGGTCGACACTTATAACAGTTAACGTAACAATAGAGGCCGCTTCACCGAAAATGTTCATCCAAATCCAGAAACGGCAAAGCTCAATTGGGTACAGTTCTAAAGGATAAAATTGCATATACAGACGAATTGGAACACTAAAACCTCCTACAAGAAGATCAGCGACAGCAAGACAGGCAACGAAATATTTATTTGGTTGATGGAGACGATTATCCAGCCAGGTTGTTGCCAGAACCAAGAGATTTCCAAGTACGATTCCAATGACCATAAAGAACAGTATTACAGTAGTGGCAGTAAATATCGAAGTTGTCTTAAACTGTTGTTGTTGTAGGGACATATTCTTGGTCATGATTGGATTCGAGGTTGGCCACGTACTTGTGAGAATGATAGATTCGTTCATCGTTTTTCTAGGTAAAACAAAAAGGTTTGGATTAATATTTTCCTCGATAGAACATTTTGTCGACAGACTGCATGCAGTCTGGCAGATATCGTTACAGGTATTTTGCGGCAGGACGTTTTGCCCATGAGGAGATCTTTTTGTTAACAGGACATTGTCGGGACAACCGTTTTGATCGGCAGGCTGTGTTATTGACATGAGGATGTTTCGCCGGCTTAAAATTTTATTACAAGGACAATTTCTATAGCAGAAAATTTCGCCGGAGAAACATATCTTATACACATGACGATGACAGAAATTTGACCTACAAAATTTTACTGATAGTACTTACCCTGTCTGACCGACATTTGATAAAAAAGACATCTTACCGAACAGATATTTGGCCGACAAGATATTTTACGGATATACATCTGGCCGCCGTGACATTCAGGACAAAACACGAAATATTATGAACAAGGATATTCTATTTATTGCAAATTCTGGAGGAAAGTGAGCTGTTTCCCGTAATATTATATCATTTTCCAAATATATGCTTTTGAAAATTGAAATCTTGCTTATCCCACTCCTAGTCCTGGCAAACGGCCAAATTTTTGAGATCAGTGAGGATGACCACCCACGGTTGGTGACCGACGCCCGCGCTCATTGATGAATTTTAGACCATTGAACTATAAGTAAACTGGAACGATAAGTTCGCCGCCATCTTTGAAACCGGCCATGAGTGTTTTCTGCAGGGGCCAGTTGTACGAAAGGCGTTTAACTTAAACGGTGCTTAGCCGCTAACCAGCGTATAAATTTCTTATCCAGCGGATAATTAAACGCCCGATAAAATTGCGTTGTACGAAGCCCGTTTAGTACCGCGTTTAACTATCCGTAGGATAACCTTTAATTTAACCGGAGAAAACCGGATTTTCTTTAAAATTTCTTACCTCTACGTCAGCTGTTGCTAGGCCTTTGTAAACTTTTGAAGTTTTATCTAACTTGTGAATTCCACTAAGCTTTTGCAATAAAGTTTGTTGTTGTTTTTATTTGGAGTTTGCTCGTCCATTCGTTGCTGCAAATCTATATCAAACTTTTCATTTTCACATTGTGCTGAGTTTCTCATTCACTTAAATTCACTTACGGATATTTCTTTAAAGATTTTTGGCTTCTTTATGCGAAGAGTCGAAGGCAATAGCAAAAACTGTGAGTTGTGCTTGGCTTTTGTCAGTTGATTCAGTTTTATACTGTTTGAAATTTGTTCCTCGACCTTGCACTTTTGTTCAAAACAATTTTAAGAACATTTTGTCCCAACTTTTAATAGACCTTTCCCCTTTTGAGTGAAATTTTGATCTCAACAAGTCTAGACAAAAATTTCATCACAGCTTGAAAGAGCATCACAAAATTAGTAATATTCCGAAGTTTCGTTGCGAAATGTTGTAAAATGCGGATAATATAGCCTTGCGAAGTTTGCCGTTTTTCAGTCATTTTGTATTACAAACGGGAAATTGATAATCAGATGATCAAACTGATTATCAATTTCATTTGTAATACAAAATGTGACTGAAAAACGGCAAACTTCGCAAGGCTATATTATCCGCATTTTACAACATTTCGCAACGAAACTTCGGAATATTACTAATCTTGTGATGCTCTTTCAAGCTGTGATGAAATTTTTGTCCAGGCTTGTCTAGATCAAAATTTCACTCGTAAGGCCAAAGGTCTATTGGCTGATCAAAGCGATTAAAGCCCGTTCTCTACTAGGCGAATTTTTTCGCGCGACGCGAAGCGAAAGACAAATCTTGGCAATGTGATTGGTCAGCGAAAAAATTCGCCGCGAAAAAGTTGGATCAGTTCCTACTTTTTTACTGTTCGCGCGAACAAATTCGCCTAGTGGAGAACGGGCTTAACGCGAGCGAACAAAATTTTTTCGACTTTCGGCGTCTTGTTGTCTATTTTGTATAGGCCTACTTGTTGGCGGTTTTCCGAAGGGCAAAGTCATTGTTTGTTTTCAATAGCTAAAATTGGGAGTCTTACTGCTTGTTTTCAAACTATATAATAGAAGAAAAGAAGGAGAAAAAGCCAGACTATACTTAACGTCTAAACACTGACACTGGTGTGCGTATTAAAATATAGCAAAGTCACGGAATTTTAATAATACACTTGAGCAAGTGACTCCTCTGATCAGTATACCTCAAGACCAAGCCAGTTAAAAGTGAGTTTTTCATGTTTATTGGATTTAAAAAGATAACTCCTCTACATAATTGTGCATTTCTGTAACTACCCCATGCTCTTTCATCCGGAATAATCATTGACATTGTTTTATCTTCAAACTCCGAGTTTATCCGCCGTATAGCGATTTAGACGGTCTCAAGAGACCGTACGTTTAAGTTTACACGGTGGATAGGCAAAATTTAATCGGTGCATGGATAGCGATAAACGGGCTTCGTACAACGCGCTTTCTCGAGCGTTTAAATTTTATCCGGCGGATAGCGAGTTAAACGGTGGTTAGCGAGTTAAACGCCTTTCGTACAACCGGCCCCAGGTAGCCCCAGTCCTTTCTAAAATCTTTTTTCAAAATATGCACATTTTTTGATCAGAAAAATGTTGCCCCCAAATATTAGTTATACCACCAAATTTAATTTATATCAGTAGTATGATAAACGAATTTAATATTCGCAAATCAAACAAATCACGAATTAGCAAAAAAATACGAAAAAACATGACCATAAGCATGAACGGTCAGAAAAACCGCGCGTTTTAGGTTGCTTTTTCGGAGTTTTTGAAAGTTTAAGATAAAACTAAGACGTCATACCTCAGGAATTATTTAAACCCATGCAAAATACATCTGTATGCGAAGTTTCAAGAAGATTGAACGTTTTAAGGTCGAAAGAAAGCATTTAAAAATTGACAAAAATATTGCCATATTCAAAAGAGCGATGACGAAAATAACATCACTTGAAAAACGCCAATTTATTTATGTTTTAGAAGGAATGAAAGAAGGATTAAAAGCTCTTGATCAATAACAATACCTGAGGTTTAGTACAACATAAGTTTTGGGACTGTCAAAATGTTTTATAGTATATTCTTTTGAGTTGAAGAGTGAGGTTTCCTTCGGCACGTCCAAACTTTCGTCATTTTTTCAAAATACAAAAACAAAACTTCTTACTTTTTGCTTCAGAGAGATGTAAAACAGTTGGAACTAATCGTAAAACCTGGTTTGAATCCCAATAATTGTTGTATTCCCATGGAAAAGTGTTTTTCTTGCAAATTTTTGCTTGAAAACAAACTTTTGACCGAATTTTTTTCACTCCTCGAAACTCTCCTTATAGTGGCTTAGTCCTTTCGATAGCTGATTTTCCCGCGCGCCGGCTTCAACGAATCATAGACTTTCATCATAGGAGTTATCCTTCCAGTTTGCTTATAGTTCAATGCTTTAGACATAGACTTGGCTAATGCTTCCCTTTCCCCAGGTGTAAATAACCGGGGGAATTAATACCCTTCCACGGCGCTTCGCGGATTAGAACTGCTGCATGGGGATTAGAACTTCGCGGATTAGAACTGCTGCTCGGGGATTAGAACTGCTGCATGGGCAATACGAAAACCCTGTAAATTTACATGGCGAAGAAGGTGCTTTAAGCCGTTACAATGGTCCAATCGTTAGTAAATAAAGATAATCATCTGTCCGTTAAATTACAACCATGGCTTTCCTAGCCATGACTGAGAATATTTCATGGATTAAAAGGTTAGGATATACATTATCGCATACATTATTATTCAACATGTTGTCGTTCAATATTCGATGCTGATGGCACGCCTGAAGGACAACGTACTCTTCATCACGTGTTGTGAGAATTTGCTCACGCAAGTAGTCACGAGTGAAATTTTGCTAAGCACATAGCTCTAGTGTACGCCAGGCTTCAGAAACACGTTTTCTGATATTTTGTTCCTATTTTGTGGTCCGTAATCTACCACACTATCCCAAGTCATCTCCGTGACATTTTTGTATGGGATTATGTGTTCCCATTGGAGAGAAAAATTTTGTGTAACACAGACATTATACGACAATGTTCTACCACAATACGAAAACATGTAAATTTACATGGCGACGAAGGTGCTTTAATTAAGCCGTTACAATACGATCGTTACTCGTTAGTAAATAAGACGCCAGGTAGGCGTTTACTTGGGCGACTCTGGTAAGCGGGTTGACACGGACTAGACGTTTAGTCAGTGATAATATTAAATAGCACTGCACATTTTGCGTGTTCAAAATTAACACATTTAGTAGGCATCTGGCTACATCTTCTACCTCGTATTCTCCTAAGAGATGAGGTACTAGTACTGTAGCTTGCAACTAAGGATGAACGTTCGCTCATAAAAAACATTGCCTATTCGCGTAACAATGTTCAATGTTTTTACTCCTAGAAAGTTCAATGTTTGTCAAGAGCACTTGACAGGTTTTAATCCCATCAGCCAATCACGTTCAACCAGCTCAAATGTCATCACAAACATTGAACTTTGCCGTCGGTAAAAACATTGAACTTTGTCATGAGAATAGACAATGTTTTACCTACGACCGTTCATCCTTAGTTGCAAGCGACGGCATATCACTAACAAAACTTTATTATCCATTATCCAATGACTCAGGCTGGCAGTGAGACTGCTTATAAAAACATGGCAATTTCAAGTTATACAGCAGATGTTTATACTTTATTGGCGTAGAAATGTTAGTTGGCATGGAAATAAATAGCTGGCGTAGAAATGTTAGCTGGCATAGATATGCACTCGTTATCCACATTTTACTCTATTGGGAATGTCATTGCGTTTATTAAGTAGCGTGTTTGGGCGAAATAGTACGTTGGGTCGTGAATACAATAACACAATTCGACTGGGCTTTGCATTCATTTATAAAAACAGAGTAGCTAGCGAAAACATGACTTGATCGTCAACACTTAGACAACCAGATGTACACGTATTAGGACCTAATAATTAGGACCAAGACAAGATATAGAAGAAACATTCTTACATAAATAATTTATTTATATAAAGGGTACCTTTAAATTACTTGCAGTCTTGCTTCGAATACAAAGACAAGTTACAACGTTTAACTTTACTTCAAAGACAGCACATGCCTCAAAGCATCATGGCAAATATGAAATATCATGGCGGAAAGTGGAAAACTTGAAACATGCCTCAAAGCTAGCCTCCTCCAGGCGCGGGAGAAACACGCGAGAAACTCAAAGCATCATGGGGGACAAAACGCAACTCCAGAGTGACCAGACACAAAAAAACAAAGCGAATTTATGACTTGGTCGACATAGGTCGCCCAAGTAATAAAGATAATCATCTGTCCGTTTACAACTTAGCCATGACTGAGAAAATTTCATGGACTATTATTTTTTATTAATGATCGCAGTGAGTTATGGATTATCTCAAAATATCTGGCTTAATTAATAGGATCTTGTAAGCCATGAGGTATGCATCCAGAGGCGACTATACTCTTATTAGTGGAGTGAAATAAATCAACATTGCACGCTCATTCTAGATTCTATCTATAAAAAAACGCTTGATAACTGTCGGATTTGTTGCGGTTAATCGGTTATTTTCATAAATTTTACTTTGTTGGAATGTATATGTGTACTAGCTCTGTCCTTTATATATGTATTATGTCCATAGATTATCATAAGTTGCACATGTGCCATAGATAATTGTTATGATCGGAAATTGTTTTTTTTTTAAATAGTTTTAGTCATACCAAATTTTAGTGTGCTGTGATAACCAATTTGTGCGGTGATGAAAGTAAAATAACGCGCGTAGCGCGAAGCCCGAGGCGAGGGTATTAATTCCGCTCGGCTATTTACACCCGTGGAAAGGAAAGGAAAGCATTAGTGAAGAACAGGTAGGAAAATTGACTGAGCATGCGCGAAAACTGCTCGGGTTTTCACGGGAGAGGAAGATACGCGCGTGCTTCCACTTGGTTGATTTAAAAAACATAAACAACATGAACGAAGCCTTCGTAAGACAATTTTGCAGCGGCTGTTTAGGCCCACAAATCACCACAAAAATTGGATTTATTGACAAGAAATGTTGCAGTAATACTTTTATTTCATCTATTACCACATATTTTACAATGTAAACTATTAATATCGCTTATTTCAGTGCAAAACAAAACAGAACAAAAAATTTTCTTTTAAAATGTCGTCTGATAGCTTCAATAAAATGCGAAATTCAAACCAAAAATACTAAAACTTCTTCATTTTTTACAATTTAGTCACCAAATTTAATACCGACTTTAAAATGCTTTGAAATTTAATGTAAAACAGCGATATTTCGTTGGCACAACCTGTAACATGACAAAATTCGTGTTTATAGAATTTTGAACGAGTGCCAATTGTGTTTAAAAATAATTGCGCTTCGGAATGAGGGTCATAGAAAAATCTGATTGCTATGTTTATCTCTTTTTTAAATACTTTGAAAACTCTAAAAATAATATTTTAAAACTATTATAGCAAAATACATGGTAAAATGTTCATTCTGATGCTCAGTTTCTGAGCCGCCTTTTTCGTATAAATCACACTTGCACATGAAATTTGCCAAAATTCAGTACTTTCTTCATTTTTTAGGCGAGTTTACATTCTATTAGCAAAAACTAGAAAGAAAAGCACATCTTCTGACCTAATCACATTTCATTGGCACCACCTGTTTATGTGAGAAAATTAAGGTGAAAAACAAGCAATTTTAGCAAAATACCTCACATACTGAAATTTGACGATGATCGTTGGCGCACAGTATCACTCAAAAACCAAATATTTATACTTTGTTCTGGACAACTTAACAAACGCATGTACTGCAAATATCAAGTAATATTCCATCAATATTAAGTTCCTGCTCGAGGTTATTTGCCATAAAAAACACACATTTTGCAAGAAACGTTATTTTCGGCCATGTTGCAGCGATGAATTCTTGACTGCTAATTTCCCGATTGCGACAAATAATTGTGGTCTTGATTAACGTTCATTAGAGTTTACGTCTGCTAGCTTTCTTTTACTTTTCCTCTGTTGCAGTACGAGAAACTGGGCAGCGAAATCTGTGATTTTGTTCTGATCTGTTCGAAATCTGATCTAAAAAAATTAGCTGTTTGCAAGGAGTGAAGCCGAAGGAAACAAAGATTAAAAAAAGATATGCATGACAGAAAGCTTGGATATCTTTTCACACACTATAGATAAGTTGCAAATCACCTTTTTCGGCAAATTTTAAAGAAACAATAAGTAAGAAACGGGTAAGTTTTTTTACTGTTTATGTATGACTTTGCTGTCCAGTTTTCGCCTGAAGGCCTTAATTGAAAATGTACTAACAGCTTTCCTTTCCATTCTATGTGATAGTCTCTTTGAATTACCTTGTTTTATTATTTTATAAAAGCTCAAAAAAAGGAGAAAATCATTTTCAACAGCGACCTGTTTGATTTAAATTTATTACATTTCAAAGAACGAGTATAAATAAGTTGAAGAGTTTATCGGCAAAAAGCAGTTAATTTCAATGAACATTTAAAAACGTTTTACGTAGCGTTTCGTGTTGAATTTTACATTATAATGAAGTACTGTTTAATAAACGAGCAGGAGTGTTTTATTAAGTTTAAAGCCACGAGCGCGCAGCGCGAGTGGCTTTAGACCTAATAAAACACGACCCTTCAAACACGACTACAAATTCAATAGATATTCTGCCTTATTAGTATTCTTTATATAAAGAATACTAATACTAATGAGGACACGACTACAATAGATACTGACTTATTAGTATTCTTCATATAAAAAATACTAATTAGGAGTGTTTTATTAGGTTTAAAGCCACTGCACGTGACATATTATGGTTGACATGATTTGCCAATAAGCTTATGAATTATTAATGAGTGTTTGAAGGGCATAGAAAGTAAAATAACACACCCTTGGCGACCCTGGGTGCTGTGCAGTGTAATATATATTGGTTTTTGCATTTTCGAATATAGATTGTAGCCTGTTTTGTGGTTGCACATTATTATAAGGGTGTGTTCAGAAATTTTCAGGGCGCACTGAATGTGCAGTGATAAAATAATTCTTGAAAGGCGCACATGTGCAGTAATAACATAATTAATTTTTATGTTTTTATATATAGTGATAAAATAATTAATTCTTAAAAGGCGCGCATGTGCAGTGATAAAATAATTCTTAAAAGGCGCACAAAAATGTGCAGTGATAAAATAATTCGTAAAATTAGGTATGCATGGTTTTAGTTAAGTTGTGCTGGAACCAAAAGTGCTGTAGCCAAGAAATGTTAATGATGTTATCGTAGTTGTATTTTATCTAAAGTGTGTAATGCATGTTAATTAATAACGTGTACGTGATTGTGGTTTCCTGACCGAAACCATGTAATATTCATGCAAAAAGTTCTTGGGTCAGAGTGAACAGAGAGTGAACAGAGAGTGAACAAAGAGTGAACAGAGAGTGAACAGAGAGTGAACAGAGAGTGAACAGAGAGTGAACAGAGAGTGAACAGAGAGTGAACAGAGAGTGAACAGAGAGTGAACAGAGAGTGAATAGAGAGTGAACAGAGAGTGAACAGAGAGTGAACAGAGAGTGAATAGAGAGTGAACAGAGAGTGAATAGAGAGTGAACAGAGAGTGAATAGAGAGTGAACAGAGAGTGAACAGAGAGTGAACAGAGAGTGAACAGAGAGTGAACAGAGAGTGAACAGAGAGTGAACAGAGAGTGAATAGAGAGTGAACAGAGAGTGAATAGAGAGTGAACAGAGAGTGAACAGAGAGTGAACAGAGAGTGAACAGAGAGTGAACAGAGAGTGAACAGAGAGTGAATAGAGAGTGAACAGAGAGTGAATAGAGAGTGAACAGAGAGTGAATAGAGAGTGAACAGAGAGTGAACAGAGAGTGAACAGAGAGTGAACAGAGAGTGAACAGAGAGTGAGCAGAGAGTGAACAGAGAGTGAACAGTGCAAGTGAACAGAGACTGAACAGAGACTGAACAGAGAGCAGAACGAATCAGATTGACCGAGAATGAGAAAGTGTAATATCGATGTTATGAACAAATTGTAATGTATATCTATATGTGCATGAATAAAACTTGTGAAACCGAATTACGTGTGTGTGTTGAATGAGAAATAAATCTACGCATGCAGGTCAATTCGCGAGTTGCCGTTTGTATGCATGTTCTCACTGTACGGTCTGTGCCAGTGTATACACTCTAAAAACACTCTGGTTAAATTTGGGTTAATTCAACCAGTACGGGGTTAAAAATCCACCTACACAAGTCTGGTTAAAAAAAATTAACCATTTTCCTGGTTAAAAGTCCAAAAAAGTGTACCAAATTTTTGTTGAATTGATAATTTTTAACCAGGAAATGGGTTAAATTTAACCAGAATGTGTTGGGTGGATTATTAACCCAATTCCTGGTTGAATTTAACCAGAGTGTTTTTAGAGTGTAGTGCCAATAATAACAAATGTAACTTCGGTTGGTAAAGCTGCTGCAAATACCCGAAAAATACAATGACTTATGACTACTTGCATGTTTAAACTGTAAAAAATTCGTGATGCTTCTTTTTTGAGAAATAAGGAAATTCATTCCAATACATTTCCTAATGTCAAATACATGTGTCATGTGCATGAGGTTTTGATGCCGATCCAGATATAATTTTCGGATTGTATACACATCCTGCATGACTTTACACTTTACACTAGGAAGTTTACTAGTATAGGACTTTGAGCATGCATGGCAGTAGCGCAAAATGCCTATAACAACAGGCCGGCCTAAGTACATATCAGCCGTGTATAGCCCAGCTGGAAAATTATATCTGTTACCTTTTCAAATGACCGTGGTTAATTGGATATCTCTTTGAGTAGTTCTACGAATGTTCATGGCATTTACATGCCTTCTTTGTTACCAGGCAGTGCCGCTATTCGACGTAGCAATATACCATTTCATATGTATCAGTCATTTCCCGCCCAACGACTGATGGCCAGACGAACGAAAACGTTACTCCCAATAAGTGATACATTGCTCAAACCATCTGTCATCGAGCCCAGTGAAGTTACGAAACGCTTATCACATTATCGACAGCAAAGCAAAAAGTACTATGACCGCACAGCTAAACCTCTTCCAAATTTGCAAAAGGGAGATGTGGTGCGGGTCACAGACATCAAAGGGAAATACATGAAAAAAGGAACTGTTATAAGCGAGACAAGTTATCCAAGGTCCTACATGGTAAATATAAATGGACGAAACTATCGAAGAAATCGTCGCCATCTTCTGAAAGTGAAAGAAGAACCAGATAGTGAGCATGAATACGACACAATCGTAGAACCGATCAATCAGGAAGAAATCATCGTAGAACAAACCAATTGGCAAGAAACAATCGTGGAACCAAGTCAAGTTACAGATCACCAAGATGACCACGAGAGACAACATGGTTTACCAAGATCTCGTTTTGGAAGAGTTATCAAACCACCTGATCGCTTGAACCTTTGAATCGAACTGAAACTTCATAACTGATAGTGATATATACCTCATAATCGAAACAAAAAAAGATGTAATATAGTTAATATATTCGTATTATTTAGTTAATATATTCATACGCCCAGTTTGACATTTTGAGATGATTAATGACTCTGGAGCAGACAAAATATATATCAAGTAGCAATCGAACACGAACGCAGATTACCTTACGTTTAATACTTAGGAACTATAGTTAATAAATGACAAGATAAACTACACTTTTCAATTTAAATATTTAATAGATAAACTACACCAATTCAATTTTCCTTTTTCTGGGACGATTTTTTCAATATTTTGTCGGTTTTGAAACCAAATTTGCCGATTCATTCTTTTTGAAAAGCATTATTTACTAGTTTGCTAGTAAATAATGCGTCAGATTTACTCGTCAACTAGCCAATCAGAACGCGCGAAAGCCATTTGATATGCAAAATTTATACTAAAATTCAATATGGCGCCAAAATAACAATATGGCGCGAACAGCGGGCGCGAAGTACCGAACAGCAAGCGAGAGTTGCCGAAAATTTCCGAACGGCAACCGAACTATGCCGAAAGGAGAAAAATGGCCGAAATACCGGGTGTCCCCCAAAAAACTTGCGCTGTTTGATTTAATGTAACATAAAAACTATAAAAGCTATTGCACTCAAATAAGTTTTATTGCATTCAGAAAGGGCTAACTTAGATCTTGATATATAACATTTGAATATCCGTGCAATATTTACTGAGCTATCGATGTTTTAAATAGAATAAGCATATTTGACAATGTTAAAAATTTGCATAAAATTGCCAATCAAATATTATTTGGTTAAACTTGATTATATAGTTTTATTGTGGCCAAAAGAACGAATGAAAAACATAATTGTTGGATAAACATTTATTCATTTATCATAGAAAGTATGTCCCCTTGCACGTAGGCCTATACAATGTCTTGCACGGGAAAACATATAAAAGCCAAACTCTTTGATCTTTTGTTAATCGAAGCATATTCGAAAGCCGAAAGAGGACCAACTTTATAATACGAACTCTCTAAGGACGTCAAATATGCTTTCGAACGTTTTTAAATTTTTTATGCTTATTTCGCTTCCCAAAAAACACGAAAGGTTAACTTATACTAGGACATTACCCGAAATTAAAGTTGAGTTGAAATGCTGAAATTGAAATTGTTAATTTTTGTGGAAAATAGAAATTTGTTTTCATATAAATTTGATCAGCCATGTCATAAATTTGATCAGCCATGCCAATCTGCTTGATATTTATAAAATTAATTTCTTATACATTGTTAAATTCATGTATTGCTATCATTATAATTTACTTCCATCTTCATTTCATAATATTTTCATTACTAGTCGTCACATGCACTCTTACAACACTAGAAATGCAAATGCATATCGACCTCATACATGTCGTACAAACATAAAGAAGTTTACTATTTTGTTCCAAGGACCCCAAAAATGGAATTCCCTTCCGGAAAACATTAAAAATTCAGAGACTTTAAGTTGCTTCAGGAATAGAATGTTAAAATATCTAATATAGCCATCATTTATATTATGAAACTGGTAAAATAATTTCATATGCTCTAAACGTCTGATTCCCCTTTGTGTTTATATATGTTGTGCTCATTTAAAAGGGAGCCTAAACTCCTATAAGCCTTGTGGTTTCGTCTTAGGCTTCCTTGTCACCAACATGATGACTGAACAAAATTTATTTATCGAACTATACTTATTTATATAACTTATCTATCTTATTTAAATATCTAACTATTATATAACAGTTCTATAATATTTATATACGTATACAGTATATGCATGTAATTTACAATCTTTTTATTTTTTATTTTTTTTTGTAATGTTGGTGTCAAATCAAATTAAATTCATTCATTCAAATTCATTCAAATTCATTCAAAGCGTGCGCCACATTCAAACGTTTGTACTCACGTAATATTACATGATTTTTTTAGGGCTGTATATCAAAATCTAAGTTAGCCTTTCCTCAATACAATAAAACTTATTTGAGTGTAATAGCTTTTATAGTGTTTACCTTACATAAAATCAAACACCGCAAGTTTTTTTTGGGACACCCGGTATACTAATTGGAAATTCTTTGAAAAGCTCGAAAAAAAAAAAGAAAAATTCATGCGGCATGGAAAAAGGATGTGGGCGGGGACAATGAACTATAAGTAAACTGGAAGGCTAACTCAGGGGGGGGAATTGAAACCTTTTTTGCGAATATTTTTTGAAAAATACACTTTACATATAGATAGATTTTACCCCTTTAATTTCCATTTATACTTTCACCATGTATCTTTAAACTTTTTACTCAAGTATTTACAATGAACAAAGGTCGTTCAGTTTTTGAACTATTACTGAGAAAAAAAAACAAAATTTGTCAAAAAACCGCGCGAAAATGTTTGATTTTTCTGAGTTATGAGACTTTCCAAAAAGAGTTAAGAGGTTTTATGATACAAATTATGTGGAAAAATATCAGATACAATTGCAAATATATTTTCAAGTACCCACGACTTACTTTTAACAGTTAAAATAAGTATATAAAAAGCAAAAAATATCATCGAGAAATTCTTTATGTTTTAAGTCGCCCCAGTCTTTTGTTTTCAAAACAGGACGCACAATAATTTGTTATTTCCGAAATATTTGTAAACAAATTTAAAAAACAATTTCAAAATTTTAAAAAATTAGTGGGATAATTATGTGATACAGTATGCCATATACCTGTGCAGTCTGTGGGAGTCAAGATGAAAATTTTAGAGAAAATGAAAACACTCCTTACATTGCATATCACAGGTGAGTTTGTTTTTTCTCATTTGACAACCCATGCCATTGACAGAAAAAACCTTGATACAGAAATGAAGTATGATACTAACAAACAACAAAATGACCAGAAATTTTGTATATTTATTTATTCATATTTAAGTTAATCACATACAACTTTGCACTATACATGTACATGTACACACATATAGATAGGGGTATAAAATTAATTTACACTATACTGTACATGTACATGTACAGCCATAGATAGGGGTATAAATTGACAAAATTAAATGTAACAATAAATAATTATATAATCACCAACAAAGATTTCCACTGAAAGATGAAGCACATCTGGAGAAATGGGAACAGGCTGTACAGTGCTACACAACATAGCTTTATATGCAGTAACCACTTTGAGAGATACGACTACACATTACCCCCCTCAGCAACTGGAACATGCAGACTCAAGAAAAATGCAATTCCGACACTATTTAAAATCATACCGGAATCAACTGACATTCCAGAAGACGCTAGGAGTCGAGTAGCCATGCCCGAATAATTAACAAGCAACACAAGAAAACGCCGAATGCCTCAAATGTCGTCACCTGCTGCAAAAGTTCTTCGAACTCATAATGCGACAGAGTCCCACCTCACAAACAAAGCGCTGAAAAATAAAGTAAAGAATCTACAACAAAAACTAAGGAGATCCAAAAAGAAGATTGGAAACATGGCAGATATAATTAATAACTTGCAAGACGACCTCGTTATAAAATCTGAAATAGCCGACACAATGTCGGCCCGACAGATTACACATATCATTCGACACCGACTTCAACTTCCTATTTTTCACAATGCAAAGAACAATACTACCATCTCTCCAACTGGCAGAAAATATACAGATGACATAAAAGAATTTGCTTTGACACTTTATTTTTACTCCTCAAGAGCTTACCAATATGTTCGCTCCATATTACCATAATACTGTTGCTAAATCCATCATTGATTAAAAAGTGGTCTTCCTCTGTGGACTTGGCGAACCAGGTTTTTTGGCAGAGGCATTTAAGTCGCTAGAAACAGAGGTAAAAATTCACCAACAACGAAGGACTGCTGTCTAATGATCGATGCCATGGCCATACGTAAGCAGACTATAGTAGACCCCAAAGAGAAAGAACGGTATGTTGGATTCATCTGGCTACAGAAGCACTTGTATTCCTTCTGGTTGGAACACGAATGCATTGGAAGTGTCCAGTTGGCTACTTTCTGTGTGATAAGACGTCTGCAACAACACAAGCGCAACTAATTAGAATGGCCCTTGTAAAGGCGGCGGATGCAGGATTAAGGGTCTGGACAATAACAGCAGATGGGACGTAGGTTAACACCAGTACTTTCCGGCAGCTTTGATGCATATTTGGCACAACATACGAGTCCACGACTACCAAATTTAAATATCCGTTACAAGATTATTATGTGTATGTAATACTAGACCCATGCCATATGCTGAAACTAGCTAGGAACGCTCTTGGAAGTTCCTTGTCATTGAATGGCCAAAATGGTGGAAAAATCAAGTGGGAGTTCTTCCACAATCTCCATGTCCTTCAACAGTACGAAGGTTTAAAGCTCAGCAACCGGCTTACTACACAGCACCTGGAATTTAGAAAACATAAAATGAATGTTCGCTTGGCCGCACAAACACTAAATTCCTCGGTAGCGGATGCCATCGAGTTTCTAGACATCTCAATGAAAATGCCTGAGTTCCAAGATAGTCAACCAACTGTTATTTTTATACGAACAATTGACAGGCTATTTGACATGTTAAATTCAAGGAATCCTATTGGTAAAGGGTATTATTTTAAGAAAAATTTAGAACTGCACATATAGGGATGTTACGAGGGCAACGCGTGTTTGATGGGGGGGGGGGGCGAAGGATTTTTTACCTGCAATAAGTGACAGAATAATGGTGTGGAGAATTTGAGAAAGGCCAGACAAACTCGATTTTGGGTGCGGGAGCTAGGGGGTGTTCCCCAAAACAATTTGAATCTAGATGCTCTTAGTTCTGGCAAAGATTTGTTTACCCAACCACTCACAAAAACTGTTTCAAAACATGGGAATCATGGATATATATTCAATATATAACAACCTTAAATTTGCATTTGAGGCAGCAATGAATATTAGGTTCCCCCACTCTAATCTCTTTTGGGGAGCTTCGCTCGCCCCAATTTTACCTTCTTTCCCATTACGCCAGCACGTAAGTGATTTGTGAGGAAAATAGGAGCTTAGGAGGGTCTGGAGTCCTCCCCTAGAAAAGTTTATATTTTTGATGCTCAATTAACGACAGCAATTCTGGAATTTTCTGCACAAATGGGTTTAGAACTGCACATTTTGTGTAGAACCGCACGTTAAAATAAACCCTGCTCAGACCCAATTCAAAACATATACGGGAGAACAGTCTTAAAGCCGTAGCAGAATACTTGCTCTCACTTCGAACAGACGATGGACAGCTTCTCACTTCACATCGAAGAAAAACCTTCATCACTGGTTTTGTCACCACCATCAAGTCCACCATTGAGATGGCTAATTAAATGTATTTTAGCAGTTTGGATAGTCCATTCAAATATCTGCTAACATATAAATACTCTCAAGACCATTTAGAATTATTATTTTCATGAATACGGTCTAGACGCGGCTGGAACAACAACCCAAACACCCTGCAACTAAAATATGCTCTAAGAAAGATGCTAATGAGAAATGCCATAACACAGCATCGAAGAATGCCAATTGCACAGATTTTAGTGACGGTAGTCCAACAAATATAATCCCAATTTTCCACACAAGAAAATATACTTCACCGCTATCCGAGCCATCGGACGACAACGGCAAAGACAACCAGGTCAACAAACAAGTCATCACCATGCAGCTTCACCCCGCAAGAGCGTATGATGGTTGAGCACATGCATGAAGGCTGGCATACAGAATTCATCGAAAATATACTTTTGTACATTGGGAGATTCGTCGTATCAAAACTGTTAAAGTTACTCACATGTTCAGCTTGTAGAAACAGTCTGGTTTCAAGTTGCCCAGTTCCTCAAATGTCCGACCATGATTATTGTGGTGTTGAAATTAAGAGAAATTCAGACGACCCAGCTTCAGCATTCACGCATTTCGTAAATAGAGGCGGCTTGCAAATTCCTTCGAAGTCGGTTTATCTCGTCCTCAAATATGCCGAGCAAGTATTCAAAGCTTGTGTGAGCAAAGATGGAAACCAAATCATTCGCGAAGGAAAACTTCGTAAGCCTAGTAAATTGATTCTTGAAGTCTGCATGCCACCACTTCATATTCGACCGCTCTGACAACGACAACCTCTTTGAAGATCACGAGCTCGGCATGAATGAGATCGGTTTCGAAGATGACCATAGGGTTGCTGACAAATATTTTACACTTCGCCTTTTCACTTACGGCAAAGGATTCTGCGAGACTGTTATACAGAACGGAAAGCCTAGTGATAGATTTAGGTTGACAAAGTTAATACTGTTTAAAAATCAATAAAATATGTTAAAACATTTATAAAATATTTCAAATATTAAATATTGTACTTATCTGTTCAATGACTGTTGTGCATTATTTTCACTCTGTTTATGCAAAATAGGTTTTGTCCTTTGGCGCATTTCATGTTTCGTCATGTTATATGATCACTTCGATCATGCTTCAACAGCCCTGTAACTTGGCGAAAATCGATATAAAAATGAAATATTTTGTTAAAATAAAACGGCCACGCTTCGAACAAACACGATGCCGCTTCACTCCTTGTCAGGGGGGTTGTCAATGTCTGGCGGAATTTCGGCTTCATCCAATCATAGGCATTCATCATAGGAGTTAGCCTTCCAGTTTATTTATAGTTCAATGGGCGGGGACGAGAAACTACTATTTTTTTTTATTTGGCCTAATGGTCTTATGTAATGTTGACAAAGTCAAAAAGTTGTTCTGCGCGATATTCTGTACTGCATTGCCATTGTGTCGTTTCTGCGAGAGAAAAGCTCAGAAGTTGTTCAAAAATGTCTTTAGTCTTTGAGAGCTGCTCGACCGAAAATGTCTTTGGTCTTTGAGAGTTCCATACCTGTGTTGATCTGATTTAAATTCTGTATTTTGATTGTCAGGATATTAACCCATTAAGTTAATAGTTAAGAGAGTCTTGCCACTGAAATATATCTCCGGCAAATAGTTTTGTTCCCTTTATAGGATAATCACAAGTCACAACATGATATGCGTCAGTTCAACTTTCAAAATCAAATAAAAGTTTTTAAAAAGCTCAACCGTACTTCTTAATATGTGAATAGAAAAGATCACTTACTGTTATTGTTGGAAAATTTTGTCCAGATATGAAGCTCGGAAAGCGTCTTTTCCTTAACAATGCCAATTTTTGCATTTCGAACTGCGTTTTCCCTATAGTTTTGTGTTGAAAACGCAGCGACGATACTGGCTGCTGCAGCTGGCATATTATTTTTTTTTTAATATTTAATTTGCTTTTGATGGCGTGTAAATGGCGTCAGCTTCGCAAATCCGCGTGTGACGTCCTTAACACTGTATTTTTCACCAACTCTCTTTATATCTCTACTCTTTGTCATTAGTAAATAATACGAAATGGTGTTGCTATACTATAACTATTTTTACAAGTATTTTAAATTAAACTAATATATTAATATTTTGAACTATTCATATTATACAAACTAATTTTATCACTGGCACTGGCACTGATGAAGTAAATCTTTTCTAAAAGCTCAATCGCGATATCATTCATTGACATTATTTGCGATATTAATCGCGATATTATTCATTATTTGCATATATAAATATACAATATGAAAATATTTTGTTATCAAATACAAATTATTGTAAGTTATTTCTTTTACTTGTCTCAAAGAAACTTACGTAAAATATCCTTGGTAATTTGGTCGTTTACCGATTACAAATTATTTCCTCGCTTCGCTACTCTTTTGTTGCTTGTTTAATATGACAGATCCAATGGTAGGAAAATGCCGATATTTTTATAGCTTCACCTATTTCAGAAATTCTCAATCCATTATAATTAAGGAAACGTGTTTATCACAAATATGGAAGCAAGCAGATGTTATCTCGATTCCAAGACAAAAACCCATTTGTGAGGTAAACAAACACTTACGGCCAATATCGTTAACCCTAATTAATTTGATTGACCCTAATCAATTTGGCACCATCCCAAAATCAAGTCCCTTTTGAGTACAGTGTATGTTACATTCCTGGAATAGATCTACAGCTGGAAACGGTGCAACGGCCATGGGGTCATTTTGTTTGACTTTATATTAAAACAGGCTAATGATTTAATAGATCATAGATTACTGGTTGCACATACATAAACTCCATACATATAACTTACACTTTTGGGTTATTAGCTGGATTACAGGGTTTTTTTACGTGTAGAAAACAACGAGTAAACTACTGAATCAAGATAGTCACGCGGATTGGACTGAACTCTGTGCGGTAGTTCCTTGACACTGATGGTACAGTACACTAATGAACCTACGTTAAAGAGAAGCCCTAAAGCAATCATTGTCCACGCTGGAACGAATAACATCCCAAGGGATCGACCCGAAGAAATAGTAAGTAAACTAAATGATCTTGGTCAACATATAGAGCAAAATTCAAAGTGTCGAGTCTCTCTCCTCCACAGAGGCAATTGGAATAGGCTAATATAGGCTTACATGAATGGAATAGGCTTACATATGAATCTTACATGAAGTTTCAATTGGGGAGAGAAACGCGCGCGGGGGGCAACGGGAAGACGGAAGAAAGAATTGCCTCTGCCAGTTAATGTTTTAATATGGCGCCCAAATTCCGTGATGGACTGGGACACACTATAAAAATTGAATAAAAATGGCGACTGATGAGCAACTATTTTGCATTGCAAATAGACCTTTTCAAAACGCCCACCGGCATTCGAAAGTTATTTGCTCGAAATGTTACGAAGGCTGCGGCACACCGGTCGAAACTGTGAATTTTTTCGTGGAAGGTAGTGGGTTAAAACATCATTTTAGAACCATGCATCGTGGGACTGTATTAAACGAAGAAATTTTGGGTGAATGCAAGAAGATATTCAACAATTTACACGGGGCAGAAACGGCCGAAGTGATTAAGAAACTATCCGCAATACGTTTACAGAAACAGGTAATTATTGCTTCACATTTGTATCAACAATTTTATTGATTGATACAACTTTTATAAATGAATTTTAAAACTAATTGGAAGTTCCACTGTGTCCACTATTAAAGCGTGCAAATAATCCAAATATATGCAAGAGAACAGAAACACTTGACAGTTCTGCTTGCATTATAAATATGTAGATATTTAAATCTGTAAATAGCGTTTCAGACAATGCGTCTCGAAATTTTAGTGACATTTTCTATGCATGAGACATGAATGTTTACTGTTTTAATAGGAATGTTACCATTGATTGTGCAACTTTAAAGTGGTGGTCAAGTCAAAATATAAACAAACTGGCAGATAAAAAAATATGATATGTTCTGGTTCGATATGCTTTAATTAAATGAACATAGAATAGAGTTTCTGATTTAGAAGATGTTGAAACAATGACAACAATGCTAAATTTGGGTATTGTTTACATCACAGACCCAACATAGCACATGTGCAGAACAGACTTGACTGCCTGTTAAAAGGAAAATATGTACTGCCTTCAGCCATGGTGTAATTGATGTATTTTGCCACACCAATATCATAGGCATATATGTGTATATCACAATTCTGGTATGCCAATATATTTGGTGTAACACACATCGATTCCACTATGCCATGGGCCTTCAGTGTTGTATGCAAAGCTATAAAACACCAGTGGCACAAGTGGTGCCCCCAATGTTTTCCAGATTGTGGTCTTCATTTGTACAATTAAAAAAAAATAGGAAAGGACAATTATGACATGAGTATTTTCCTCCCCCCCCCCCGAAAAAAAAATGGTTTTATAAAGAAGGTAGTAAAGCGGGAGACTGGGAGAGATCCCAAGCTTATCTTTGTTTTTGTACTCTTAACACGACAAGATTTGTTCGGAAATAAGATTCCCAAAGACAGATAGGCTTTCATTAATTAAAATCATATGAACAAACCAATTGGGTCGTTCCAGAAAAGATCCACACTCCCCCCACGGAGGAAATTTATGCCATCCGGAGGGGAGACAAAATTGTTTCTGATAATAAATGTATTCGGACATCTGAAGGGGGTTAACTTCCAATTTCCTCCTTGGGGGTGGTATGGATGTTTTCTGGAATGACCCATTACACAATGAAACAATTGTTTGAACATATTATGCAAATAATTTGTATTGAGTTTTTGTTGAATTTTTCAATAATTTAGGAGAAAAGTGAATTAAGTGACTATTCCATGTTCACTGTAACACATATATCAACCGCAGCAGCAATGGACATAATGGCAAAGAATCAACGAGAAGCCACAAAATTATATGGCTTGGTTCTGAGGCACAAAGGGTTCCTGAAACCTCTGGGTGGGTTACCTTGTGAAGTTGCTGTGATGGAATGCCACTGTGGAAGTGACAGACGTGGTCAAACCTATCAAGTTTGGGACTGCAACAAGGATAAAATATACGTGGAGTGTGTTAAACCTGCTAACAGGGTAAGAAGAAAATAATTATAAAACTTATAATTGTTTAAGGGTTCAGTGATGCACCTCAAAAAATAGGTTGTCCTGAATTAGGTAGTCCCAATAGAGTTGCATATAAAATCAGAAGCATTAAGGATTTAGCTAAAGTTATTCACTGTACTGTAATTGACATTTTTACATTACATAATTTACATTTCTCAACAATACCAGTATTTACATTTATTTAGATGAACTTCCTTTCCAGTAACAGAACTCTACCTCTTCAGCATTCATCAATCGCTTCAAATTCCTTCAAAAGTGGCAGCACTCCATTGGAGGTCTTGCGTTCCGTTTTTGGACATGATAACTTCAGACCCAACCAATTGGAAGCCATTGAACATGTTCTTTCTGGGAAGGATGTAATTGTAGTTATGCCAACTGGTGGTGGAAAAACTATCATTTATCCTGTTAAAGGAGGATAAATTAAGGCTACACCTTAATTTGCAATTAAGACTTTAAGGATCATGCAAGCTGCTCAAGTTTACAGGGTTGCTAAATTTAAGCCAAACCAAAAAATCACTGAAAAAAGATAACATTTTCCCCAACTAAGACTGAAAAAAATTCAAATTCTGACCCTCCCCCTCCCCACCCGCCAACACAAGCACACACAGGTAAACCATATGTGTGTGAGTCTCTGAATGAAATAATGTAATTGTGATTTGTTTGTGTGATCACAGTGCTATTTTCTAATTACTAGTAACTAATATCAGATTTCAATGTTCAATAACTTAGGGGGTTGACTTGGACAAGGATCATCATGTCCTATTGACCATATACATATCCTCAAGTATATTTCCGTATGTACATAATTCATACATAGTTTTGTAAAACGATTTTACAAAACTATGTCTATTCCTGGCTGCAATTTTATTATTTTTCGTATTATACTTCATATATTCTATTCACTGCTTGTATAAATACTTTTATTACATACTAGTGCCTCAGGGTGATAAGGGCCTACCTATTGGGTCGTTCCAGAAAAGATCCATACTCCCCCCACAGAGGAAATTTCTGCCGTCCGGAGGGGGAGGGGAGAAAAAATTGTTCTGATAATAGTAAATGTATTAGGACAACCAGAGGGGGTAGGGGGGTTAACTTTCTATTTCCTCCGTGGGGGTAGTATGGATGTTTTCTGGAATGACCCATTAGGGTGATAACAGAGTGACATAAAAACGAATAAAAGTGATAAAACTGATATCACCTCATCCCTCATATAACCTATACTTACATAGTTATGTGGTAGTACAGTAAATAAATAGTAAACAAATAAAAATGTAAATGCGTACATAACTATCCCATGATAAGGATTGTTATTATATGGACGAAGGATTATTATACATGAGAGTATTATGAGGATTATTATTCGGATGGAGGGCAATAGGCAGAGAGGTCCGAGCAAGCTGGACTGGATACCACAGGGGTGTATATTCTTCAAATAGTCAAAGGATGAATCAAAGGGTCTTAGGGCCAGGGGAAGGAAATAAAAAAAGAGTAAAAAAGAAGGGAAGGGTAGGAAGAAAAGAGAAAACTTTTGGAGTGGTGGGGGGAGATCAAAGAAGGGGGGAAGAATCAGAGATCATTGAAAAATATACACCCCTGGACTACTAGTAAGTAGCAACAAGACTGAGATATATTTATATACAAAATATTAAATATTATATTAAATAACTCGCAAACTTACCATCACTAGATGTAGGGTCACACTGTTGGAATCTTTTGCTCAGAGGTTGATTAACTAACTTGGAATTCGGCGTTAGTTGATGCTTCCCAGGTCTGAAATCATCCTTCTCGGGCGTACTCGTCGATTGAATAGGATAACATCCAAGATCGTCTTCACTATCATCATCTTCAATGCCAATATTAAAATACGGAAGAACAGTATTTAATACAATCAGTTCTTTATAATGTTATACATCTTATTTACATGATATAAAAGTATAAACAGATATACGAAGAACACACAATTTTCTTATTAATTTATATCGCTTGTATCACTATACAAATATCATAAAAAAACTTGCACTAACCTTCCAAGCTTATATCATGTAAAGAACATTGTAATTCTTCCAAAATATTACTGTTTTCAGCCATAAACTAAACATTCGTAGGTCACTCCCGAGAACCGCTAAAAACTCCTGAGAACCGCACAATATCCAGCAGAGGCCTTTTCTTCTTTCTTCCACCTTCCCGTCGCTCCCCACGCGCCTCCCTCCCCCCAGGAAACTTCATGTAAGCGCGCACGAAACTTCATGTAAGATTCCGAAACTTCATGTAAGATTCATGGAAGCCTATTCCAATTGCCTCTGCGGAGGAGAGAGCTTCAAATACAGTATGTTCATGGGCGCGGGCAGCACACATGACTGACACAACTTGGCACCAGAGCTGGCAAGAACCCCCCCCCCCCAACCAACAGATCATGCTGGACCATCCCTGCATAATCTAAAATACCAACTTACTTGTAATAGTGATTTGAAGTAATTACTGATCATGAAAGATTAAATTTTGTTCAGAAATTTAACAAGTTCAAATGCAATCCGCAAAACTGGTGTGCAAGTACTTATTGTACTTTACTAATTGTTTCAGGTTGCTGAGGGGGACCATCAGTCTGGAACAGCTGAAAGTCATGGCGAAAGAGTTGAAGATCATCACGCCAATTCAAAATACAATTTCCTCATTTGTTGGTAAAGAGTGGGGAATTATTGCAAGTCAACTTCCAGAATTGACAAACCCAGAGCAATTGTTTCGTTTTGCTGTAAGTATAATAGCTGCAACTATAATTGGCGAGTTAAACAACTCATGATGATTTGAGTTGTTGGTAACTAATTTCAGCTACAGTTTTTAGTTAGCCATTTCCCAAAGTCCTGAGTCTAGTCACGCAAATCCCATGTTGGAGGGGGACAAGAAATATGGCAGCAGACGTTTAAATTAAATGTTTAATATAAAAAGGAGATGTTTCATATTTGGGCGTCTAAAAAGTTGATTTTGATAGTAGATACTTCTACTCTTTCACATATTTGACGCCTACCACCATATATTCTGTCCCTCCAAACGATTACAGAATGCACTGTGTCACTGTGATCTCTTTTGGGAAAAGGCTAATTATCCGTAATTATATTTTTCATTTAGGGAAAGGATCCAACTAATTGCTTTTTTAAAAGCTATCTTCAACTATTACGTGACAGACTTGATGGTAACCAGATTGTTCAAATCCCTTCTTCTAACACCTTCTCAACTGAAAGCAGACATCAAGGCATCATTTGCAGATGCGAAGATCCACTAGCTGTTGAACAAAGCATGTGTGGTCGCAAGGATACTGGGTTTGCACTGGCAATGTACACAATCTGTGGCATAAATGGAAATGAGGTAACAGGCACATAATTATCTATTACCGGCATTTCACTGAGCAACCAGTTATTAAGTTCATGGGAGGCTAAAATTGAACACTTTATAAACATTTCAAATATCCAAAGGGGTTATTGTTTGCGAAATCAATCCTGCTGTCTATTATAATATAGAACCTGGGGCTTCCTTTGGAGAAAGTGTTCAAGTTGGTTGAGCGAGTCAACTTTGCCACCCGTCAGACCTACAATGTGATTGTAGTTGGAACAGTTGAGGATATTGTTTCTGCAAAAGGATGGATAGCGATAAACAGAGGCTCGATTGCAGAGATTGGGTACATTTCCAGGAGCAATGTCAAAAGTTCAGGTGTGTATGGAAATAGCTTATTTGAAAACATCATTGATAATATTTGAAAATCGCTTATTTGGAGAGCACCGCTTGATCAATCCAACTTTGCAGTAATCACCTGATAAACACTTTCTTGTCCTTGATGCCACCCTCGATTAATAGGGAGCTTTAGCAGCGACTACGAGTACGAGATTCGCCAAGCGAAACGCATCCTGTATGCTTACGCCATCCTGTATACTGACGCGAAGTTGTAGCCGTCACCCATCTGAGTACGAAATTGTGGAGAAATCTCATAGTCCTCACCACAACTTTTCAAAAAAAACAAAGAAACTTGGCGTTTTTTGTTTTTCAAAAATAATTTGTTGCGTTTATCCGGCGCAAATAATCTATTAGTATTAAAATCTGGCTTGTTTTTAATATTATGGCGTATTTGCACATTTTGTAGGGAATTTTGACCTGCAGGAGACCAAGTTTATATGAACTTTTTCTTTCGTTGTTTGTCTACTACTATAAAAGCAACACTTGGACGGAAACGAGAACGACTACGGTGATTTCATCGCACGCAATCAAATCTCGCAGTCGTACTCATACAGTAGCTCCTAATAAAAAGTTGTAAGACGATTGATTCACACTTGATGAGCCTTCCAGGTCAAATTTGTAATTATGACCTGCCGATACTTTCATTACTGAAAGAGTATAATCTAATATGTTTGCTCGATTTCAGGAGATCTGAGAATGATAGAATCTATCGACAGTTCCTTCATGGTGTACCATGCAGCTGTTGGTGACCGATTGTCACCAGAGCATGTGAACTTCACAAAAGAAAAATGTCCGTCCAACCTTGTTGAAGTACCTGACACTCACGTGAATAAGCAATATTCCTTGTTGAAAAGATTGATAGAAATGTTCAGTCGACAAGATGACTGGATATTAGATATTAATTCAGCACAAGGTACAGTATATACAGCAATGAGACCTACAGTGTATGTAGTTTTTTCTGCATCTTACTCGACTGAAATTAATGCATATATGGTTTTTTAGAATAATTCTCAGACAATGACATTGCCACTGAATTAAAATGATAAAATCATATACCCAGTCACACCTGTGTTTCTATTTCAGCTACTGGAGTTGTTGCTGCGCTGAAAAGCAAGAGGAACGGTTTGTGTTTGGTTTCATCTGATGATGAAGAATTTATGTGCAAACGGAAACTGAGTGAATTAATGAGGGATAAGTAGGAGCATTAATCTCAGAACTCATTCATTGATGCTGTCTCGATGCATCAGGAACTCTGATGCTGTACTGTATAACGATTAAATAAGTTTTATATTTACAGTAATACAGTATAACCTTTTATTCAAATCACTTGTTCATTTACATTGCGGGATTATTATTATACAAGGTTCAGAAATTCTGACCCTCCTTTGTTGCAGATATAAACGTTTGCATATTTGATTATTTTGATACACTTGTTCATTGAGGTGTCATAAATTCTGAACATTTCATGTTAAGGCTTTGCGTTTTGAGTGAGATATATTGCGGGATTATTATTATACAAGGTTCACAAATTCTGACCCTCCTTTGTTGCAGATATAAACGTTTGCATATTTGATTATTTCAATAGACTTATTCATCGAGGTGTCAGAAATTCTGACAACCTTTCATGTTAAAGCTTTGAATTTTGAGTGGGATATTGCAGAATTATTATTATACAAGGTTCAGAAATTCTGACCCTCCTTTGTTGCAGTTATAAACGTTTGCATATTTGATTATTTTGATACACTTGTTCATTGGGGTGTCATGAATTCTGAACCTTTCATGTTAAAGCCTTAAGGCTTTGCATTTCGAGTGAGATATATTGCGGGATTATTATTAAACAAGGTTCAGGAATTCTGACCCTCCTTTGTTCCACATATAAACGTTCGCATATTTGATTATTTTGATACACTTGTTCATCGAGGTGTCAGAAATTCTGAACCTTTCATGTCAGGGCTTTGCATTTTGAGTGAGATATTGTGGGATTATTATTATACAAGGTTCAGAAATTCTGACCCTCCTTTGTTACAGATATAAACGTTTGCATATTTGACTTTTTTGTTGCACTTGTTCATCGAGGTGTCAGAAATTCTGAACCTTTCATGTTAAGGCTTTGCATTTTGAGTGAGATATTGCGGAATTATTATACAAGAGGTTCAGAAATTTTGACCCTCCTTTGTTGCAAATATAAACGTTTGCATATTTGATTATTTTGATACACTTGTTCATTGGGGTGTCAGAAATTATGTACCTTTCATGTTAAGGCTTTGAATTTTGAGTGAGATATTGCGGAATTATTATTATACAAGGTTCAGAAATTCTGACCCTCCTTTGTTACAGATATAAACGTTTGCATATTTGACTTTTTCATTGCACTTGTTCATCGAGGTGTCAGAAATTCTGAACCTTTCATGTTAAGGCTTTGCATTTTGAGTGAGATATTGCAAAATTATTATTATACAAGGTTCAGAAATTCTGACCCTCCTTTGTTACAGATATAAACGTTTGCATATTTGACTTTTTCATTGCACTTGTTCATCGAGGTGTCAGAAATTCTGAACCTTTCATGTTAAGGCTTTGCATTTTGAGTGAGATATTGCAAAATTATTATTATACAAGGTTCAGAAATTCTGACCCTCCTTTGTTACAGATATAAACGTTCGCATATTTGACTATTTCGATAGACTTGTTTATCGAGGTGTCATAAATTCTGAACCTTTCATGTTAAGCCTTTGCGTTTTGAGTGAGATATATTGCGGAATTATTATATACAAGGTTCAGAAATTCTGACCCTCCTTTGTTACAGATATAAACGTTTGCATATTTGACTTTTTTGTTGCACTTGTTCATCGAGGTGTCAGAAATTCTGAACCTTTCATGTTAAGGCTTTGAATTTTGAGTGAGATATTGCGGGATTATTATTATACAAGGTTCAGAAATTCTGACCCTCCTTTGTTGCAGATATAAACATTCGGATAGTTGACTATTTCGATAGACTTGTTTATCGAGGTGTCAGAAATTCTGAACCTTTCATGTTAAGGCTTTGCATTTTGAGTGAGATATTGCGGAATTATTATCTGTCACAGATATAAACGTTAGAATATGTGACTATTTCGTTACATTTATTCATTGGGGTGTCAGAAATTGTGAACCTTTCATTTTAAGGCTTTGCTTTTTGGGTTCAGAAATTCTGAACCCTCCACGTTTAAAAAATATTGTTGTAATGTAGTATTTATAACATCCAGTCTCAGTATTTATTTAATGCATGTACTGCAATTTTGAATTTCTCCATTTTCAATAAAATTTCATATTTTTGTAGCAAATGGTTATATTTCATAACAACTCCGAAAATACTAAATTTTTAAGCAAAAAATGTTGACGCTCCACATTTTCCTGCTATTTTCCTATTTGTTTCGGGAAAAAAAATACTTTGGAAAAGTCCAATTTACTTTGGAACGCGTTAACATTAGTATTGAGTATATCAGACCTCCTATGCCACCTGCCTTGCCTTTCAGCAAAAGACAAGAAAATGCAAATTAGTAAGATTATGAAAAACCAAGCCTCGTAGAATAGTGGGTTGCCTTAAGATGTACAGTACTACGGCATACCTGTATTGATAGTTTGCATATGGCATCATGACAGCCATGTTGGAGATATAGAATAACACAAAAGAATACACTGTACAGTGTATGTTATAATTGCTGTTGTCAGATCCAGCCGACATCAGACAGACACCATTATCATTCATGAGATTGATTGCAAACCATCAATATTGTGAAACACCGTAAATAAAACCCAAAATACAGTACATGTAACTTACCAATGCGACAATTTTCTACATGTGCTTGAAAATCATCTTTGGGTTTATTTTCATTACAATTTCTCTTTGATGGCACCGTCAACTGTTCAATGAGTTCCTCGGTGGCTTTGCGCTTCTCCCTACTGCTAGCAGCTTCAGTGAGTTCAGTATCAACAACAGTATCAGTACGGTCCACTGTACCAGAGATACGTTCATCATCTTGTCCATTTTCAATAGTAGTAGTGACTGTACATGTAGCATCAGAAACTATTTTAGCCAGTTCAGCAAGATGTATGTTACACTTTTCTACCCATAATTGTTCGGTCCCCATTCCAACAAGTTCCTTGAAAGGCCCATGGCTGTTTGCCCAGTCATGCTTTGATATGTTGAACATCGACTCAGATCGCTTTGCATATCGGCCCGGTTTAAAATGAAGCGACAATATATAATATTATAGAAATCATACCAGTATATCACATTCTTAGAAAATTATGAAAACAATTTAGAAAGGGCCTATACATATCCCTATAAACCCCTAATCTTTTAATATGATTTAAAATTGAAATAAATTGGTCAAAATATAATATAGATCATAATCATATAACATGTATAATACTAATAATTATTAGATGCATACAATTTTGGCATTTTAACAAGCCTGCCTGAAACACAACAGAAGTTTTTTTCGGTATTAATGTATTATAACTTCAGAAATGGTCACATTCAAGCCTTCAATTTAGCGAGATTTCAATACCAACCCATGCTTGACAGACTCAATCAGATACAGTTAATAATTTACCTTAAAACTGCCAATCTTATATAATTTATATTATAGTATTTATACACTCTTCAAGATGTATTTTTCGGTTGCATCTCACTCGATTGAAAATATTAAAGTTGATGGTGTTTGTAGAAGTATTGTTCGATACCATTCCCTTTTCTATATTCTGTTTCTCAATCATTAATACGTTTATAATATCACCATTGCCAACAGGTGGGAAATTTGTCGTCGCTGACCAAAAAATCGCGGGCAGAAACAAAGCTCATTGCATTTACATTCAAAACAAAGCAGAAAGTTAGCAAGAAGCCGTTTTAGCTGACGATTTTTTGCTTTCCATTCAACGAATTACAAATTAACGGTTATTCTTTTAAAAGTCGACTATGAATTCTTTGTTTTGGGGTGATTTGTTTTGTAATCGAGGGATTGGAAGAAGTTAATATGGCGACGTGAACATGGGAGTAAATACTGTATACGTCGATCTGTAGCTTGTTTAAAACCGTAATAAACGAAGAAAGACGTGATATGAGAATGAAATGTAGGTTGAAATTAACTTTATATGCCTCAAATTTTCCATCCTATGTTTCTTAATGTAACTTCAGCTGTCTAAGTTCAAAATACAAGCTTGCGAAATTTGAAAAATTTTGAAAATATGTAAAAATAGCTTGACTTTGAACTGTATTTTCTCAAAAATAGCATGTGGCCTCAATTTCAAATATAGCTAAATGAAAAGAAAAAACTTTTCGGCGTTTGTAGGTATCAAACATATCATCAGGAAAATAGGGGCTCACAATGTTTTTGAGACCCAGTTGCTTTGCACGTGTTGTGGTCAAATTTTTGCCAAGAATCAAAGGCCGAAATGTGAACTTCCTTCATGAAAACCGGCTCGAGAAGGGTCTAGTTTGAAAATTTAGCTATTAATTTCGATTTCATGAGTATATTTTGGTTACACATTAAATATTTTTGTACTTGATGAGATTCAAAATTTGTTGTATATTCAAGCCCGGCTTTAGTGTAATTTTGGTGATGACCGGAACAGAAATAAATATATTTTAAAAACTGGCCGTGGCCTCACGATAAAACTTTCTAAAAATGTTCCCTTTTTCATGTATTTCTATTTGATATCTTAGGTATAAGCGTAAAAATAGGGGCTCATACAGTTTACGAGGTTGTAAAATGCATTACTTGCCTCTATTTTCATGTAAACATTTGAAATTTTTCAACAGCAAAGTAGCAACTGTTTCAGATCGAAAGCACACGGACAGCCCACCAGAGACAATGGCAGGGTACTGAAATAGAATGTCACTAAAACATTCTGTATGATTAATTTAGATCATGTCCATTTTCAACATAAAACAGTCATTTATTTTGTACTTACATTTGGCAATATTTACACGATTGTGCCTTTTTGTAAACACGCGTTGCGTGTATTCCACTCAAATGTGTTACCATTGCCATGAAATATTGAAATACCAAGATGATTAGATGAAATACATGTAATCTTTTTTATAATAATGCCCATTTTTCACAAATAAAAACACAAATGTCGAATTGGAATATTAACATCGACATTTATTGCTGTCACGATATACAAACATTTATCCCTGAATATCCCCTAAACAAGCTTAAACATGTGCTTCAGCGTTACACAGGGCAGGTAGACTTGCTTCAAGTCTCTCCAGATTCTGGTTAAGCTACAGTTACAATCAGAGCCGTACACAGCCGGGGGGGGGGGACAGAGGAAAGTGGGCAACTGCCCCCTAGAAAATATATTTATTATTTTTAGAATGTCATTATTAATTTATATTCTTCGGATATTTAGGACTTCTTCGGCATATAAGGCCTTACTGCCACCCTGCCCTGGTGAAAAAATCCTGCGTACAGCCGTGAGGACAATTTATGAGAATAAAATCACACGTCTATAACTGTAGCTTTAGAAAAGGGCCGGTTGTTCAAAGTCCGTTTGGCGTATCAAAGTTCAAAATATAAAACAAGGTTCATTGGACAATTAAACAATTTTGAACAATAATGCTTGCAATTACATATCTAGTGCATAAAATTTCACAATTATTTTAGTTCACTTTATATTCACAAGCTGTAGCCCCATAACTTGACGCAGCTTAATCAATAACTCCTTGAAACAGAAAGCGCGCACATGTTCTCGAACTTAAAACACCAAAATATGTTCGTTTTACACGATGCCTAACTTCGGAATAGGCTAAACAGTAACAGTCAAGCTGCCTAAACTAGACATCAATCCAAATAATAAAATCAAGCCCAATTCTGTTTCTGTTCTGAAATTGCTATACTAAGTCGTGCGCAAATAAGCCAACGCAAACAAATTGAGCGATCTACCGGGCCGCTGTTATGCAGTGCCCGTATATTACCCTACATTCATCGCCGTGTAACAGTGATGGGTCTTCTTCTGTATTTGGAGTTGGGTTTTCAAGTCCGTCAATGCCAACTTTACCAACGGAACCATTGCCACATTGGAGCTGAACACAAATAAAGATTGTGTCTCTGATAGTTTCTCACTGGCCATATGGCAGTAATTGGTTCTACTCGCTGACTGATACAGCTGAAGTCAGCGTTACGCAGAGCGAGATCCATAGAAGGGCAAAACTACTGAGCTCAGGAACTCGAAGAAGCTGAGCACAAAGGTATGACGCCTAAATTTTACAAATCTATCAAACTTGCTATATGTTGGGCCATTAATTAAACGAATTTTGGGCAAGCTATATTTACCACACTCTTGTATTAACCGTCTTGTTCCTATTGAACAAAGAAACACAGGATACTTTGGAAAAGTCCAATTTACTTTGGAACGCATTGGCTATTTTTCACAAGCTTATTCTCCAGCTTTTCATGAGTAAATCCTGGAAGTTTCTCCAAGGATTTTATCCAATAACGGTTGTCAGAATTGAAGATATCTTCACTGACTTCACTGGTTTCCAACACTACCAGTTTTCGAGGGAATGCAGCACCCCCACTTCGCCTCGTAAAATTCGACGAAGAAAGCGGACTACTGCACTGACTTTCAGAGTTATTCAATTGCAGAAGACTCGTGCATGAGTTCTCAAAAGAACTAGAATCCTCATTGGTTTGAACAGCCTCTAATAGACGGTTAAGAACCTCAAAACATTATTTTTTGACAGTAGCCATCTTGAAATATTTTCCTGCCCTGTGACCACAAAGACCATAATTCACCGTGCACTTCAGGTCTTGTGACGTCATTAGGCATAAGGTCTATTGCCTTAATTTCATTAACAATGCCCCACTGCAATGGTTTTGGTACTGTAGCTAGTGGTTTATTATGTTGTGTTGTAATTAATTTGACCAATGAAGGATACATGGATTTTCTTCTGTTTATTACTTTTCCAAAAACTGAAGCCGTGACTCTCTTAGACCATTCTGTGTACCAGTGAGGATTTTTGCTTTGCTCTATGGTATTTAAACAAATCTCCTTTGCAGATATTGTTAAGCCAACTGTTCTTTCCACAAGTTCTAACTGTTGCTGGTTATAATTTGCTGGTGGGTGATAATCTTTAGGGACATTTTCAAACAATTTTTCAATCAACAGGCTTTCTAGTGTCTGGCTGGGGGGAGATTCATCCTGTTGGTGTTTTCTTTTTTGCTGACTGCATGAAGTTTCAAAAACCTCACAAGGCTTGTAAGCATTTGATTCAAGAGTTTTCCAGAACAGCGATGCACCTTCTTAAAAGCATCAGCCATAGTTTTAATCTCCTCATCTGTGACAGTCTGTGCAAATGGTGGGGTAGCACAGGAATTCTCTCTATCCCCTTTTACCACATACCTTTTGTTTTTTTTTCACGTTAGTCTTTTCAAATAATAGCTCCCCAAACTTTACAGCTCTATCCAAAGTCTTGAACCTCCCAGCAGGAACATTTCACTTCTGGGGAAGCTGCATACATGTAAGTTCCACTGGAATGTTTTGCAAGTTCAGATTGGCAAAGTCCAAAATGGTGTACAAAAGAGCAGCCACATGTTTACAACAACCGCCCTGGCCTGCTTTACAGCAACACTTAGCATACTCTACTTCACCGTTTACTTGGTTCAGATGGACATAAACTTGATAACTGACACTTTTCATAGATGCACTAACACGTGCCTTAACCAAGCACAACAACTTTGAGGTTGAAACATTAGTCTTGACAGCAGTATTTTTGACATACCCTTCCTTCCACAGACCATACCGTTTTTTCATATTTCTATGAGCTTTTGGAGATATTCCATCGGGCATGTTACGCCTGTTCTTCACCAGCTTATTCTCCAACATTTCATGAACAGGCTGCAAAATTAGTTTATTGACTGGAATAATAAATGCTATTTACTTGTGTCGTCTGTGGCTACACAAGTGAATGTGTGAAGGAGAATGAAAGCAAAACATATACTGCATTTAACAGGTAAGAAATTACAAAACAATTGAAACTTTAAAATATTTATTAATATTCAATTTATTTACATTTCAATAGTAAACACTACCATGACAATGGGTACAAATTCATAATGACAAAATGAAAAAAGCCTATTTTCATTAATACAGGTTTCCCTTAAAAGATGAAAGACATCTTGAGAAGTGGGAAAATGTAGTTTTG